CCCCCAGCACTGCAAAACCTTCCAAGAAAAGAAAGGCTTTTTCTCCAACAACTACTGAGATTTATCTACCAAAAGGAAGGGCCACACGAAGCATGATGAAGCAGAGTGAAAGTGAGTTACAAAAGGCTGTGGCAGAAAGCAAGAAGAAGAGGATAGATAAAGGGAAAGCTAAGGTTGCAGAGCCTGCTGAGGTTGTTGATGTGGATGAGATGGAACAGGTCCATCAGGAAGAGCACACAACTGTGGAGGTTCATACCCCCAAGATCAAAAAGACCAAGACTTATTCCAAGAAGTCTTAATCTGTGTCTAAGACTACTGAACCTTCATTGGCCAAGAGGACAAGGTCTGATGTGAAAAACAAACAAGTTAGAATTACTGAGGAGGAGGAATGGAGTGGTGAAGAAGAGAGTGAATCTAATGATGAACAAGACAAGCTGACCAAGTTTGGCAAAAGAAAAATCTTGAAGGGTAGACTTCTGAAGGATTTGGTGGAACCAGGGATGGTTCGATTGGTTGATGCTCTAGCTGCTCAGGGCTGGAAGGACATGGTCCTTCAGTTGGATGGTAGGCTAGCAAGGAATGAGATCATTAAATTCATGATCAATGCAAAGGTCAAGGATGGCAGAGTTACCAGCCAGGTGAAAGGGGTTCAAGTGACCTTTGATGCTAAGGAGCTGGGTGAGATTCTTGACATCCCTTCTGAAGGATACGATGACTATACAAGGCAAAGATGGCCAAGTCTGGACTCCCTTCCTACTGCCCTTGCAATCACCAGAAGATTCCGTGATGTCACAGAAGTGAATGAGGCCAAAGTTGTTCATAAGTGTGAAATAAAGCCATGCCACAAAGTCCTGTTTGAATTTGTCAACAAGTGCTTACTGCCCAGGCAGGAAAGAAGGCACATTGCTAACTATATGGACTTGTATTTGATGGAGTGTCTTGAAAGTGAAAGGAAGATCAACTGTCCTGCATTTACTATCAAGCTACCAGACAGGGTGCTCCAAGGCCCATGTCACTCCTTATGGGTTTATTCTGACTACCATTCTTGATTGCTGTAAGGTGCCACTAAAGAAGTGGGAAATGGCCACAAGCAAAGATCACTTTGAAATCAACTCTCTGATTACTTGTGACTATGAGGTCACTGTCATTCCCAATGAACCTGGTTCATCCAAGAAGACACCTATAAATAGCAAAGTCAGAGCTCTAGTACAGGAGAGTGGAGCAAAGGATACTGAGATAGCTAGGCTGAAGGCTCGTTTAGCAGAGGTTGAATCTGAGAGAGATGCTCTCAGAACTGAGCTCACAAAGGAAAAGGAGAAGAATGATGGCATTCTTCAAGACATGTTGCACCTTCTCCAAGCCAAAACCCAACCCTCTAGTTCTTCCAAGCCTTAAGATCTTTAGCCTTCATTTTCTGAACCTTGTCCAGACCTTTCAGTGACCTAAATTAGGGATTTTTCTTGTTTTACTCATATTTTGATAGTTTTTATTTCTTTTTGTGGATTGTCGTAGCATCATATTCTCTATTAATGAAATCTGATGTTTTTGCTCTTATTGACTGTTTATTTCCTTGATAATTTGAATATGTTTGGTTGATTACTGATGATTAATCCATGATTGCACTTGCAGTTGCCCAAGTGGCCATGAATAATTGTTAAAATCTGGGAACCACACTTTGTTTATGCAACTTTTCGATGATGTCAAAAGGGGAAAAAGATATTGTGCTTTACATTCTGAATAAGTAATGTTTATAACCTAATGAACCTGGTTCTTGATGATAAGTGAAATTCTAAATTTGCATTGATATTTGAGCTGAGTTCTGACAAAGCCTAAGTGAGTGAAAAGCATAGAGTTTGTGATCATCAAAAAGGGAGAATTTGTTGGCCCAAGTAAAGGAGAGTTTTGAAGATTGACAAAGGAACTCAGACATGGACCAGGTCCATCCTAGTGAACCACATATATGGTCAACTCAAGCATGAGAGATGCACATGAAGGAGATAAACCTCACTTACCAAAAATGATATCTCCTGATCCTGGTTGAAAATGTTGCATATTGGATAAGGAGAAAGACTCCTTACACAAAGAGAACACGGTTTAAGAAATGGATAGAGTTAGAGGATGACCAACTAGAACTCTTCCACCAAGGAAGAGTAGCATCAGTATTCTAGTCAATCTCTATTTACTAACTCCATAAATATCAGTGTTGTTCTCTTTTACAGTTAATGCACATAAACAGAAGTTAAACATGAATTGATAGCAAAATAGCAAGATAATTTTGCAAGCAATTTATGTGTGATTCAAGCGTGCAATCCTGAAGCTACTTGAACCAGATAGAAGAACCAATTCCAAGTGTCTATCTTTTATTTTAGTTCAATTGTAATATGTGTTTTCATATTGTACCTTTCAGCTTTATCTAGAAGCAATTGTATTAGGTACTTAGAGTTTTCAAGTTAGAGTTAACTTGAAGTTGTCGCAACAGTTGAGGCTGTGTGCTACAACGGGATTAGAGTTAATCCTAGGTTTACAAAAGAGTTTTTGTAAATGTAGTTTTTGGCTCAATAATTTTAGTGGAGAGTTTGGGAAAATTCTACGGAAGGTAGGTCGTGGTTTTTTCACCTTTTGAGCTAGGTGTTTTTCACGTAAAATCTTTGTGTTCTTTAATTTCTGTATTTATAATTCCGCAACAGTAATAGTTGGAACACATAGAAGAACCATGTCCTTCTATAATCAGATTAAACAAAAAATCGGGCACCACACAAATCACCTCCTCTTGTGACGTGTTGAAGTATAGAACATCAATATGGTTACCCATATTATCCGTCGGTTAACCCGTTTTTATCCGTATTAAATATGGTCCGGGTCGGATAATTTATTTATTTTTTTATTACCTGTTTTCGACCCGAACCATATCCGACCTGACCCATTATTTTGTCGCTCCTACCCTTTGCTAAACTTAGCTTTTCGCGTAGGAGAATGAGAAGCCACTTTTGGGGGTGGGGGAGACTTGCAGCGGTATGACTTTTGGGAAGCAAGAAAGGTGTGTGAGAGTCATGCGCCCGTGTGTCTCTCTTTAGATCGAGGAGCACAAATGTCATGAACAGCGGTTCGTGATTTATTCTCAATAAATTTTGGAATTTTTACCTCCTATAGCAAAGGTTAACACCTTATTTATTTTAAATAAATATCATTTAAAAAAATTATATTCTATAGATACCTTTTAAGGTTTATAGCAAAATATTTAATTTTGGTTACCTCCTAGCCCTAAGCCACTAAATACGCTAATCAGTTACACTATTTTCTGCCTCTCTCTACTTTGATACATCTCATTCTCTTCCTTCATCCCATTAAAATTTCCGATCTCCTCCTCCTTCCATCGGATTTGTGCAAAGCCCACTTCAGCATTCATACCCAGTACCGAGTTAATATGTAGCCTAAAATCACAACCCCTAATCACGTTAGTGGACTGGTCCATCTCTAAGTCTACCGATCTGAAACCCCAAAAGGGTAGTATTTGTATATGATGTAACACACCTGGGTTTTCCTAATTTTTGCTAAAGTTTTCTTTTTCTTTATTTTCATTCACTTCTTGAAAAAATACCCTTTTAATTTCTTGGTATTTGTATTCTTGGGCGCAAAAGTTACAGACTTTTCTGCAAGAATCTTTATAGAATGGCTACTTCTGCAAAACCATAGAAGTGTTAGAGATATTATTTGTGATGCTGGTGCTGGTGCTTCTGCAGGTTTAGAAGACTCTACGTACAAAGGCAATAAAAATTATCTTAATCAACACTTTTGTGAATGTACAAATGCTGGAATGAGCAAGGAAAATGACAAGAGTTCAAAATCGGAGTCCCTCATTTGGAAATCACTTTTTTGGCTATGATACATCCGCTGCTCCCTTGTATAATTCAAGCAACGTTGGGTAGCAGGTAATGAAAAAAGGTGTCGCGTGTTGTACCTTCAAATCTCAAAGGTGTTGCGTGTTGTACCTTCAAACGTTGCTACGGCGGATTCGCCGGAAATTAGGGTTTGTTCTTGAACAAAGACGACGAAGTTTGGGGCTGAGCAACTTGATTTTCTATTAATATATTTCAATGTATTTTCATGTATTTCATTGTATTCATTATCTTTTTTTTTGTCATTGTAATTCAATGTATCTCGTTGTATTCCATGTATTTCATTATATTCACTATTTTTTTTCATTGTATTTCAATGTATCCTGCTATATTCTATATATTTTATTGTATTCACCGTCTCGCTATATGCCATGAATGTATTCATATGTTTTTTTAATTAATATAATTTATATATTCAGATGTATTATATAATTTCTCTGATGATTGCTATGTTTTTGGGCTATTTTTAGGTTGAGAATCTTTTTTATAACTGAAAATACAATTTTTGTGTGTTATAATTGAGTTTGTTGAGTTATATTAGGAGTCTATTCTGTTAATTGATTCACTCTCTGTTTTAAAAACAATGTAATCCCCTATTTAACGCCGTGAATATAGTCGAATACAATAATCTGTCTAGCTGTATTCCATGTTTCACGCCATGAATACAGTCGAATACAACAACTGATTAGCTAGACTTCCCCGTTTCACGCCTATTTTTGCTACTATATTCATGAATACAATAACTTAAATACATCAAATACATCTTATAACCACAGAAAATGTATCTATAATCCGTAATATAGCAAATGACATGTATAGATGACTAATTACTAGTAAAAGATAGTGTTTTACAAAAATTTCCCATAAATTTTCTCGCTGCAACTCTTTTTTCTATAAAATATTCACAAATAAGTACTCATTGACTGAAGTGGGTTCCTCTTTGACTTGATTCTTTGTTTCCATTATTCACATTTCACACTGTATACTGCGATGATACAGCTGTATAAAGATGGTGTGTGTAAATATATTGATGTATTAAAATAATAATACAACAAGTTAAAAATAAGGAGTACTAATTATTAAAGTGTATTCACATTTTAGCCCAAAAAAGGCCCACTCTACTGTATTGTTTCTCACTCTGTCTTTTAGCCTTCATTCACTTTTCTTCCTTCTCTTCACACCCCACTACACTCTCCCCACCATTTCATCGCCAAGCTTATCTTCTCTTCTCTTCTCTTCTCTGTACAAAGAAACTTCTAGATTTAATCTTCTCCGTTTCCATATTTCCGGCCGCCGGAGATTCGCCCAGACTGTAATATTTGCTTACTAAAACGACGTCGTGTGCCTATTCAATTGTAGCACATGGATCTCTCAATCCTGTTTCTCTACGGAAGTTAGAAAGAATGCAGAATGCTTTGCATTTTTTAGGGTTCTTGGAGCGGTCTGATTCGGTGATTCTAGCCTCATAGCAATGCCAAACTTGCTTTTAAGCTTCCGCTACAATCAATTTTCTCCACATTAAGCGTGAGTCTCGTGGATTAAGGTTTTGAAAGTGATACTGGTAACCTTAGCTCAGGTAATTATCTTATCAACTCACAGATAGTAGAAAATATTTGGTCATCTGACGAATCTACATTGCTCTATCTCCGTAAAATGCTCTAACCTGAGTATTAAATCAAGTCAATATTACGGTTTTGGGTAAGGATTTATAAAGGAAGTTGAGTAATTAGGGTTTCGCAGGGATTATTAAGCTCTTATCTTTACGATAGTCTCTTTACTGAGTAAGAAATACAAAGGTAAAAAAGGTGTTTTAGAGCTTGTGACTTTGTTAACGGGTGAAAGTGCTAGCTCTGCTTGCTTTATCCATCCCCCCTAAAGAATGGATCTTTTTGATACAGTTGTTGTCGCATTTCATATGCTGTACTAGATTATTCTGCTACCATCTGTGGCTTTTGAAATACTACTTTAAGTGTGAAGTTGGAGCCACGTCAAGCACTAAAAGTAGATGACATGGTCGGCCAGGTTTTTTGTTTAATGGCTTATTTTGGATCTGAAGACTTGTCACCATATAAGTAGAGTACTGTCTTTTGGGGGTTGACCTTGTCTTTGTGAGTTGTCGGATCTGCAGCGTGAGGGCTGAGGAAGATTGTACTGGTTGTCTGAAACTGTGAAGCATCGATGGGGCTTCTTGAAAGTCTCTCGATGCTTCTTCTTCTATTGTGGCTATGTTTCTTGCCACGTTTAGGGAGTTGTTCTTCCCTGGGAGCTGCAAGGGCATTAGATGCACTCCTCCAAGATTATGCTTATCGTGCATTTGCCCGTCCAAGGACAGGTGTTGTTTATGATGGAGATGTGCCATTGAATTTGACAGGGATTAAGGTGTCAGCCATGAGGCTCAGGAGTGGCAGTTTATGGACCAGAGGTGTTCCAACATATAAAGAGTTTCAGATACCTGTTGGGGTCGTTGAGCAACCTTATGTTGAGAGGCTTGTATTGGTCTACCAAAATTTGGGCAATTGGTCTGCAAGATATTATAGTTTACCTGGTTACATGTACTTGACTCCTGTGGTGGGTCTTCTTGCTTATGATGCATCAAACCTTTCAGCAATTTACTTGCCTGAGTTGGACATCAGGGCTTCTGGTCAGCCCATCTCAATAAGGTTTTCAGATGTCAAGCCGGCGCCTGTTGGATCATCTGCTATGTGTGTTTCATTTGATTTAAAAGGATCAGTGAATTTCAGCAGTGTATTGTCGGACAACATATGCACGACCTTTCTACCGGGGCATTTCTCTATTGTTGTC